AGTGACGCCGGTGCGAATAATATGCCGGTGTGTAATGCATGCCGTACTACGCACTTACAAGTGATGCCGGTGAGAACGATGAGCCGGAGCAAGTGCCAGGGATTGCCTTGTAGTCTGCGATGAGTCGAGAAGAAGGCAAGTAATCTGCGAGAGTGCCGTGAAGCAGAGGCGAGCAGTAAGGCTCAGAACCGTGCCGAATACTCTAGCGCAGAGAGAAGCTTGAAGGAACAGGAAGCATTATTATTCCAGTGCTGCGATGAACCTTTGTAAAGCTAGATGGCTTGCAGAATGTGAAGACTGCAGACAATATCTGCTCGGGAGCGAATGAATGGGGTACTTGAGTAAGATGACGAAGTTTTTGAAATTGTAGTTTCCGAAGATTGTTGGTTGCGTGTTCATATCACGTCGGGGTCACCACTGTAGCGGGTGGGAGGAAAAGGGGAGATCTCCCGCCGGGCAAGTTGTTTTTTTTGCCCGGGGAGCGGCCAACGCTCCGATTGGTAGTTCGGAGCTATTCTATATATGCTGCTATAATTTAGGTTTCGATGTGTTTCGCTTGTGGCGCGACGACAGCGCCGCCACAAGTTAGAATAGATTCTATTTATTGATTTTTTGTCTCAGATTTGATGATAAAAATACGCAAGCACAAAGGACTGCTGAAGATAAACTAGCTCCGAATAGAGAGTTATTTAAAGTACCTAAAAAGAAAAAAAAGCATGCATGATGGTGCTGAAATTGACGAGAAAAGTGGTAAAACGGAAATGATCCTGGACTACAACTCCACCAAAGGAGGAGTTGAAACTGTCGACAAATTTTGTGAGACGTATAACGTTGCTCGAGGTACAAATAGGTAGCTGATGGTAATCTTTATAGCCTAATGAAAGTAGCAAAACTTAGCTCCATCTAACTGACACTTGCTTGTCAGTTAGATAGTGCTAAATTTTCTGGAACATCTAACAATAATAAAATCGGTTGCTGTGAATATTGCTCCACAAAAAAATATCGGAAAACACGATACAACTGTGCTAACCAGCAAAATACTTTTGTTTAGAACATGATAATAAGGTATGTCCTGATTGTTATGGCGAGGCTGTTAACTAAGTCACCCTGTGATTTATATTTTCCCACATTAAGTGTTTTTAATTTGTAAAAGTTTAATTTCGTATTAGAGAAAATTTTTTTTTATAAAACTTAAGAAAAAATTTCGATTTCAAAGGTTGTTCTTTGGAAGACTGATAGTCAAATAAATAATTGAAAATAAAATTGTTTCATGGTATTATTTCTTTTACTAAGTCTTTTGCTTAAAATAAATATCTATATCTCAATAGATTTTCTCAAACAAAAAATATAAAACGGGGTCCTGAATCTTCGGTCTGTAACAGCGTCCGCGGGTATAGGTGTTTCAAAAATTAACGCGCTTATAGGAATGTCAAACCAGTGGTAGCTGAGAGGTCGAAACTCGACCGTGATTTATAAAATGCTTAAGTTTGTGTATAAGTCAAGCTATATTTTACATTCAACTACAGATTAAAAGTGAAAACACAGCTATCTAATGTACAAATATAAAAAAAAACGATTTATTTCCTTCTACTGCTTTCTATACTAACACAGACTATTTACAAGGAACATTTAAGAACAACAAAATTCTCAGCTCAATCAGTGAATCTCTTAGTGATCATTTTTTTATAGAAGAGGGGGCAAACGACCATGCGGCCCACCTGATGGAAAATGACTACCGCCGCCCATCAACAACCGCAGCACCAGAGGAATTGCAGATGCGTTGCCGGCCTTTTAGAAAGGTGTAAGCTCTTTTCTTGAAGGTTTCTAAGTCGGATCGGTCCGGAAAAATCGCTGGTGGTAATCGAAGTTGTGCGAGGGATAAAACTTCTTCTAAATCGCACAGTGGTGGACCGCCAATCATCCAGATGATGAGGATAGATTCGGAAGTTCTGCTGCGATGTGCGTTCGTGAAATTTGGCGGCTGGGATTAATCCGAACAATTCCTCAGAGCACTCCCCGTGGTAGATCCGAAAGTAAATGCAAAGGGATGCAACATCTCTTCGCAGTGCCAGTGTATCGAACTGATCAGAAAGAACTCGGTCGTCGACGATTCAAACAGCTCTGCGCTGGATGCGGTCAAGTGTTGCGCCCCGGCCCGTAGATGAGAACAGTATTCCATGTGAGGCCGAACCTGCGCCTTGTAAAGTTGCAGGCGGTGTGAGGCTAATTTGACCTTCTCTTCCTAGTGACCACGAAACTGTACGTCACTCGATATGTCGTCTCCGAGGATTCCGATACTGGCTGAGGCAAGAAAGGGAGTGCCTTGAAACTGAGGATATACGATAAAGGGTTTTTTTTTTAGCGGTAAACGCGCAAACTTGTGTCTTCTGAGGATTAAACTGGACTAGATTTAGTCGTCCCCAATCCGAGACTTTGTTCAGCAAAGACTCGACTTCAGACACAAGTTTGTTCCGGTACTCGGCGACGTTTTCCCGAGAAATATTGGAACGGCCGGTGTATAGAGCATCACCAGTGCTGTCATCCACATATTAATGAATGTTACCAGTTAGCAACATATCATTGATATGCAAAAGAAACAGCGTTGGTGATAGCACACAGCCTTGTGGAACAACAGCGTTAATAGGCTTGTAGTCGGAGCATGCACCATCTACTACGACCTTGATGCTCCGATCTGCAAGGAAGCTGGTGATCCAATTGCACCATTTCTCGGGAAGCCCATAGGAAGGGAGCTTCGAAAGAAGCGCTTTGTGCCAGACCCGATCGAAGGCCTTCGCAATGACCAAACTAACGGCCAATGCCTCCCCATTGGACTCTACTGCCTCCGCCTATCTATGAGTCAGATAAACTAGATGATCACCAGTTGATCGACCCCTACGAAAACCATACTGGCGGTCACTAATCAGTTGGTGATCCTCAAGGTACCTCATGAGCTGGCAGTTTATAATGGATTCCATTGTAGGCACCTATTTATTTATTTGTTTATTTACATGTCATTTATTTAATAATACTATTAACAGATCATTTATTTCATATATATTATTTATTAATATACGTGCCATATATATAAACACACGTACACTACTTTACACATTAATAATAATATACGGAACACCACGCACATAACCAGTTCGCCGTGGCAATCGTATCGTCGAGCAAAAAATCTGAATCTTTTGTTCATAGCGATGAAGTAGTGGTGGCGCGATGAACTCCGGCGCACTGACCGTGATCAAGGACGCGCCTGGCAGTCGGAACCTACTCTCGACGCGAAGCGCATGTCGCTCAATGCTTTACGGCTTATATCATAACTGTTGCTACTTACGCGCTGCTTATTTTATGTTTATTGTTTTTCATAACTGCTCGGACTTTCATATTTGTATTCACCTTCATTCTTCAACGCTTCCTTCCTTCTGTACTGTGAGCCTTAAACTTTGTTAGTGTCATGTGTGTTAACGAATATATCCCTTATAAACTTTGGTGCGCAACTTTATTTCTACACACCTTTCTGACCTACATTGGTGACCTCTGGACTGAACACTATGGACCGCGGTGATTATTTTGAAGATGTAAGCAGTGGCAGCAATAATAAAAATGCAAATGGACGGGTGGGCAGCGGCGAGACCCGTACAATCGAAGCGGCCGACATTTCAACGGAAATTTTTAAAGTAGACGTTAGGGGTCCTCCGTTTTGCTCCGAAGAACCCGAAATATGGTTCGCGCAAGTCGAGGGACAATTTCCGATTTCTGGAATCACGAACGACTCGAAGAAATTCAGTTATGTCATCGGCCAATTAGACCATCAATTTTCAAAAGAGATAAAAGATATAATTATTAACCCTCAATGACAAATACTTAAAATTGAAGACTGAGTTAATAAAACGGTTGAGTACCTCACATGAAGAGAAGGTAAAACAGCTTCTGATGCATGAGGAGTAGGGCGACAGAAAGCCTTCGCAGTTCCTGCGACATCTTCAGAGCCTTGCTGGATTTCAAGTTCCTGATGACTTCCTGCAATCTATTTGGACAAGCAGACTTCCAAGGAACATCCAAACAGTTTTAGCGGCTCAACCTAGCGCGTCGCTAGAGATGCTGGCGGACTTGGCAGACCGCATTCAGGATGTCGTTCCAGCATCACCACAGGTAGCTTCAGCTGCTTCAACAACTACGGCAACACCTGGTTCCAGCTTCGACGCTCTTACCCATGAAGTCGCCGAGCTACGGAAACAACTACACAAATTGACCACACAGGTAAACTGTAGAGCTCGTTCCCGCAGTCGCGTTATAGGAAATTCCCACTATGCTGGTACCACGCGAAATTTGGTAACCGCGCGAACAAATGCGTGGCACCGTGTGACTACAAGACGGGAAACTGCAGGGATAGTCCTTAATGGCGACTGATGTCTGTCCTAGTAAAACTGGTCGCTGTTCGTCACGGATCGTTCGTCGAAAATACAATTTTTAATTGACACAGGCAGCGACCTTTGTGTGTATCCTCGTTCATTACTTCGAGATCGTCGGACACCCACAAATTATGAACTCTGCGCAGCAAATGGGAGTCCCATAAAAACTTATGGCTTCGCACATCTAAGCCTCGACCTTGGATTGTGTCGGAACTTTAAGTAGCGTTTTGTGGTGGCTGATGTCACCAAAGAAATAATTGGTGTCGATTTCATATCGTTTTATAACCTTATTGTAGACTGTAGAAATCAATTCTTAATAGATAATGTTACTACTTTAAGAACTAATGTATGTTTAATTTCTTGTGCAGATAATGTAACATCTGTAAGGTTTCGACTGGCTGCACGCGGCACCATAAAATTTTGGGTGAGTTCCCTGAGATTACACGGCCAGCTGGTACACAACACACTATACCTCACAACACTGTTCACCACATTCGCACGACACCAGGTCCACCGGTGACTTCTTCACCCAGACAGTTAGCACCAGAAAAACTTAAAATCGCCAAACAAGAATTCGACTCCATGATCGTCAATGGTATAGCCCGCCCCTCCGCAAGCCCGTGGTCATCACCTCTTCATTTCACCTCTAAGAAGGATAACGGGTGGCGTCCGTGTGGGTACTATAGGATGCTCAATGCCCGGACCATTCCTGACAGGTATCCAATCAGGCACATCCACGATTTTACCCATAGCATAACCGGATGCAAAGTGTTTAGTACCATTGACCTTGTAAAAACATATAACCAAATACTTGTCAGTGAGAGTGACATCCCTAAGACCGCAATAATAACGCCGTTCGGGTTGTATGAGTTTCCCTTTATGGGCTACGGCCTTCGCAACACAGGACAAACTTTTCAACGCTTCGTGGACGAGATGATCAGAGGATTAGAATTCTGCTACTCTTACCTTGACGACTTCCTGATCTTCTCACGAAATGAAGCGGATCATGAGGAACACCTTCGCCAAGTGTTTAGCAGACTTAAAAGCTACGGTATACTCATCAACACTTCCACGTGTACTTTCGGCGAAAAGGAGGTAACATTTTTAGAGTCCCGTATCTTCGAAAACGGAATCAAACCTTTGGCTGATAAGGTCCAAACTATTTTAGATTTCCTTCAACCTAAGGAGTTGCGACAGCTAAGAAGGTTTTTGGGCATCATAAAATTTTATCGGCGTTTTTTGCCGAATGCTACTCAAAAACAAGCCCCCCTTTACAACCTTCTGACAGGGGCTGTTAAAGGTAGGCAACCTATTAGTTTAAACGGTGAGGCAGCAAAAGCTTTTGAGGAGTGCAAGCGTAGTCTCGCGAATGCAACCTTGCTTGCCCACCCAGACTGCGAAGCTAAATTGGCACTCGTGACTGATGCATCTGACGGCGCCATAGGTGCCGTACTTCAGCAGCTCAAAGACGGAGTCTGGCAACCACTTGCCTTCTTTTCGAGGAAGTTGAGCCCAAGTCAACAGAGATATTCCCCATATGATCGAGAGCTTTTAGCTATATACGAAGCTATTAAATATTTTCGTCATATGGTGGAAGCAAGGCACTTCACTATCTATACTGACCATAAGCCGATCAGTTTCTCATTCCACAAAAGGAAGGACAATTGCTCGCCACGTCAATATAGGCATTTAGATTTCATTGCCCAGTTCACCACCGATATTAGGCATATCTCCGGCAAAGACAATGTCGTTGCCGACACTTTAAGCCGCATCGAAGAACTGGAGGCACCTGTTGACCTGACTGCTATAGCTGAATCCCATGCCTCCGACCTAGAGCTTGCTCAATTTATGAAGAGTGGATCATCATCCCTCCGCCTAGAACAGTACAATATACCTGGAAGTCGTACCAAATTGTACTGTGATATAAGTACGCCGACTTTCAGGCCATTTGTACCCGCTCCCCTTCGCAGGCAGGTTTTCAACAGCCTGCACTGCCTGAGCCACGCAGGTGCGAACGCTACTGCTCAACTAGTAGCGGAATGGTACGTTTGGCCCGGCATCAGGAAAGATTGCCGAGACTGGGCTAAATCTTGCCTCGCCTGTCAACGTACAAAGGTAACCCGACATGTGTCTTCTTCTTGGGGCACTTTCGCGTTGCCTCGTACGCGATTCAGGCAAATACACATCGACTTTATTGTTCCTCTCCCTCCGTCCAAGGGTTACCGATACTGCCTAACTGTTATCAAACGATTTACTAGATGGCCAGAAGTTGTGCCTTTGGTTGACATAACGGCGGAATCAGTTAGTTGCACAAGTTTTGCTGCTTCAATGGATTGCACGCTACGGTTGTCCAGAAGAAATTGTCACAGATCGCGGACGACAATTTGAGTCCGCATTGTTTCAATTTCTGTCTAATATAACCGGATTTAAGTACAAGCGTACGACAGCATACCATCCAGCTTCCAACGGAATTATTGAGCGTTTTCACCGTCAACTAAAGGCATCGATAATGTGCCACGCCGATAGCAGTTGGACTGAATCTCTTCCGTGGGTTCTACTTGGCATCCGTAGTGCGTTTAAAGCGGACTTACAGAAATCGTCCGCCGAATTAGTATACGGCGAGCCCCTCAGGCTACCGGGTGAATTCTTTGAACCCATGGCCCACAGGACATCACTGAGTTCACGTTTGCGTAAAATCGCTAAAAATCTTCAGCCTGTACCAACATCACGCCATAGTATCGGCAAAACATTTGTTTTTAAGGATCTTGCCACTTGCGATTATGTTTTTCTTCGCGAAGATGCTTCACGAGGTTCTTTACAACCAGCATACACCGGTCCACATAAAGTACTGTCACGTGACAACAAAGTGTTTAAACTACTGTTTAAGGGTAAAGAAGTCAGTGTATCCATAGACCGACTGAAACCGGCCTACATACTCTCTGAAAATCACTCTTCACAACACTCAACTACCACTCCCTCACCAGTGTATACTGACATACCACGTACTACACGTTCAGGGCGCCGAGTAAATTTTCCGGATTTTTATCGCCCATAGAATGGTCTAGGGCGGGAGTGATGTAGGCACCTATTTATTTATTTGTTTATTTACATGTCATTTATTTAATAATACTATTAACACATCATTTATTTCATATATATTATTTATTAATATACGTGCCATATATATAAACACACGTACACTACTTTACACATTAATAATAATATACGGAACACCACGCACATAACCAGTTCGCCGTGGCAATCGTATCGTCGAGCAAAAAATCTGAATCTTTTGTTCATAGCGATGAAGTAGTGGTGGCGCGATGAACTCCGGCGCACTGACCGCGATCAACGACACGCCTGGTACTTACGCGCTGCTTATTTTATGTTTATTGTTTTTCATAACTGCTCGGACTTTCATATTTGTATTCATCTTCATTCTTCAACGCTTCCTTCCTTCTGTACTGTGAGCCTTAAACTTTGTTAGTGTCATGTGTGTTAACGAATATATCCCTTATAAACTTTGGTGAGCAACTATATTTCTACACACCTTTCTGACCTACACCATTATTTTGGAGAACAAAGAGGTGATAGCGATAGGCCTGTAGTTGGACGGGTCTGAGCGGTCGCCTTTTTTAGGGATCGGGTGGACCAAAGCTGTCTTCCATGAATTCGGGACTACGCCTTGGGAGTAGTAGTACCGGAAAAGATGCGTTAAAACTGGAGCACACGTCTTCAGCACAATGGGAGGGACTCCATCGGGCCCACTCGACTTGCTGATGTCCAGGGAGAAGAGTGCTTTGCGAACCGAGCGCTGTGAGAACCGCACATCCGGCATGGAGCACTCACATCGCGGGATGGTCGGCGGTGTGTTACCCCCGTCATCTAGAGTCGATTTGGACGCAAAGACAGAGCTCAACAGTTCGGCTTTCTCCTTTGCGGCATGGGCCAGTGAGTCGTCCTCTCTGTGCAGAGGTGGAAGAGATGGCTGACAGAAGTTTCCTTGGACAGCCTTGGCGAGACACCAGAATGCACGGGTTCCCGAAGGAAGGCGAACTAGTTTCTCGTCAATTCTGCCGATGTGCTCAGACCTTGCTTTAGCAATATCGCTTTTGAAGGACCTGAAGGCGGAATTATACTTCTTTTTAAGTGCGCTGGTGTTTACATCCCGAGACGTTGATGCGTCAGCCTAGGCCAGATGAGAGGTCAGCAGAAGGTCCAACAGGGAAAGTACATGGTTTTCCACATCTGGATTCCGCGTAGGCGAAGTAACCAGTTGTGTTAGATCATATGCCAAGGAAAAATTATAGACAGATCTACCCGCATGATCGGTTAAACGAGAACCAAGCCATTCAGCGTGGTGGGCGTTAAAGTCACCGAGTATCTCGACCTCTGCGGATGGGACCTGTTCTAGCACGGAGTCTGCAGCCATTTGGACGTGGTCGATGAGTCGGTCTGTGTCGACATTACCGCTATGGGACTTATAGAGGCACCCGTAGACGCGGGGATGGTCGTCGCTGTCTACGCGCAGCCATAGGATGGACAGGTCCGTACCTTCAAGACTGCCTAGGCGTCGAAAACAGATGTCCTCTCTGACGTATACGCAACCTCCAACCCGGGGCACAAGTTGTTGCAATGTTGATGCTGATGTTGCAAAAATTCACGGATAGCATGACAGTGGTCGCCTTGGTTGTATTGCTCCGAGCAGCATTAGTCGCGAGCGGAATTTTGCCCCCCCCCCCCCCGAGAATACGTGGGAAAGCTTGAGCACCCACGCTCTGGAGTGGAGTAGTTTGGTCGTGGATTCTCAGCGACGGATTCTCCAGGGGTGCTGGTACCCTCCTGGGGTAGTCTTATATTTAATTACACTACCATGTTGATGGGGGGGGGGGGGGGGGGGGAATTGGGCCTCCGGCCACCTGTTAACCTCTACTTCGCTGGTATTCTGTGAGGTCGTGGTACCACCCCGGTTCGAGCCGGCCCATCCGTGCGACAACAAAAGCTGCCGCTTAGCTCTACCACTGTTGAACTCTATTCGGTGGCAACATTTTTTAATTCTTTGACAACAATTAAAACATAGTGATTATATACTCGGAATTTTGAGGTATTTGTAATACACATTACATACGAATTTTAGCTTAGTGCACTACTTCTCTATAAGCTTTAACTATGATAAATCTTACACTTCCGTGTGCTCAATATGCTTACAAAGGGGATAATATTTCCCTTCATGTACTAACATGTGATGCAGTGATAGTAATAAATAACACTGTTTATATCGAATGTATCTCTTACATGACCATAAATACTTACCGCTTTATATTTGTGTAACAAAAACTTTCAAAAACATTTTATTTTTAAATTAAAATCGAATAGGAAAATTATTAATTTACTTTAAAATATAAACACGGTAAAACCGAGTAGAGAGCACTTAATTTTTGCAAAAGCCAAGTCATGACTTTTACAGCTATGCACAGTGCAATTGTGGTTTAATTTTAACCAATATTCTCTGTACAATAAAACCGCAACTAGAGTCTTTCGTGTAGCGAAAGCGTATAATTTGGTGAAAAATTTAATATTTAAAAAGTATTTTTATACAAACTCTAATGAAAATGGAAACTTGTATTTTTTCAAATTACTCGTTTAGACGTGATCTTCAGTATAAAATCATGAAAAGTCGTATATCATCGCCTTAAGGTAACACGGTGAATGAATACTAAATGTGAATGAAAATGCTAATAGTAAAAGATGTTTTAATAATGAGAAAGATATGCCACGGATTTAAAATAATATCTTTTTACTTTGATTTCCTCCTGAAACGTGAAGGCAGTTTACATATTAAATTGCACAAGGATAATTACGCAGACACGAATTCTAAATTGCGGTCCTCAATCATCATCATCATCATCATCATTACAGCCTTTCATAAGTCCACTGCTGAACATAGGCCTCCCCCAAGGAATGTCACAAAGCACGGTCCTGAGCCACCTGCATCCATCGACTTCCTGCATGTCTTACCAGGTCGTCACTCCATCTCGTGGGGGGTCGCCCTACACTTTGCCTACCGGTACGAGCCTGCCACTCAAGAACCTTTCTTCCCCATCGGTTGTCGGTTCTTCGAGCTATATGGCCGGCCCACTGCCACTTCAGCTTACTAATCCGTTGGGCTATGTCGGTTACTCTGGTTCTACTGCGGATATATTCATTTCTAAGTTTATCACGCAGAGAAACCCCGAGCTTAGCCCTCTCCATAGCTCGCTGAGCGACCTTGTGCTTCCTCATATGGCCAGCAGTGAAGGACCACGTCTCAGATCCGTAAGTCATCACTGGCAACACGCACTGGTTGTATGTACAATTTCGTTTTGAGGTTTTAAGGTATATCTGACGAGAAGATGTGTCGTAGTTTCCCGAATGCTGCCCAGCCGCGTTGAATCCGTCGATAGACCTCTCGGTCGAATTTGGACTTACCTAGTCGGACTATTTGTCCCAGGTAAACATACTCGTCAACAACTTCGGGCTTAATGCTCCCAACGACTACCGGCATAGGTGTGACATGGACATTAAACATGATCTTTGTTTTGTCCATGTTCATCCTAAGACCTTTTCGTAAGGAGACACTATTGAGGTCATTGAGCATGGTGCTTAGGTCCTCCAGCGTACTATATCGTCGGCAAATAGGCTATAAAGTCAGCTCCATAAGTACTATATCGTCGGCAAATCGAAGGTGAGTGATGTACTCGCCATTGACGTTAATACCGTATCCTTTCCAGTCCAGAAGCTTGAAAACGTCTTCCAATGCAGCGGTGAAGAGTTTCGGGGATATAAGATCGGTTTCGTACTCTGGTTCTGTACTCGGATAGTCATCGTAGCTCTACTGTACAAACACTTCAGCACTTCGATATACCGACAGTCAACTTGGCACCGCTGAAGGAACTGTAGCACTGCCCAAATTTCGACGGAATCAAAGGCTTTCTCATAGTCTACATAACCCAGACATAGTGGCAAATTGTACTCTTCGGATTTCTGTACAATTTGTCGAAGGGTATGTATGAGTACTACGGTACTTGAAGTCCATCAGAAGCTCTTAAATTCCGTCCTCCATGGTGGCACTACTCCGGAGACGTGGAGCAGAATTGCGGTGGTCTTGTTCTTCAAGAAAGGTGACAACGCTCTCTTGAAGAACTACAGACCGATTTCCCGTCTGAGCCACATCTACATGCTGATTTCGAGAGTCATTACGAATCGACTCGCGCGCAGATTTGACGACTTCCAGGCTCCCGAAAAGCCGGTTTCTGAAAAGGTTTTAGTACCATAGACCACATACATACCCTACGGCAGATTATACAGAAGACAGAGGAGTATAATCTGCCACTTTGCCTTGCGTATGT